TTTTTTTTGTCTTTTTGAGACAGGGTCTCCCTGCAGCCCCAGCTGTCCTGGAACTCACAATGTAGACCAGGCTGTCCTTGAACTCAGAGATCCGCCTGCCTCTGCTTCCTGAGTGCTGGGGCTAAAGGCGTGCGCCACCATGCCCGGCCTTCATGAAGGAGGCAACAACCAAGGTGGGGCCTTGAAAAGAAAGCAGAGGTTTGAGGAGTGAAAAAAAAGGAGAGGTAGAGCGGGGTGTGGTGGTGCACGCCTTTAATCCCAGCACTTGGGAGGCAGAGGCAGGCGGATCTCTGTGAGTTCAAGGCCAGCCTGGTCTACAAAGCGAGTTCCAGGCCAGCTAGAGCTACAGAGAGACCCTGTCTCAAAAAAAAGGAGGTAGAAGAGCACTTGAGGTGAAGGGACTAACACAACCAAAGACATACAGGGAATATAAAGTAACTGGTTCAGGGAGGGAAAGGTATAACCATAATATAAGAGGTGTGTAATAGAGTCAGGATAATATCCTTCAGGTAAACGGAGAAGCAATCGGAGTCTTTTAAGAGGGAAAGAGATGACCAGACCTGTGCCAACCAGTAGAAATCAGAAGATGAAGTCAAAAAGTTACTGGGGCTGGGCCAGGTGTGGTGGTGCATGCCTTTAGGCCCAGCACTTGGGAGGCAGAGGCAGGCAGATCTCTGTGAGTTCAAGGCCAGCCTGGTCCACATAGTGAGCTGGGGCTACAGGGAGACCGTCTCAAAAAGACAAAAAAAAAAAAAAAAAAAAAAGTTACTGGGGCTGTAACTCAGTGACAAAGCACTTGTCTAGCACACAGGAAGGAGGCCCTGGGCTCAACCCCTCGTACTGCCAAGAAAAAAAGGAAAGGAAAAGAGTAAAGGCTAAGTAGGAGACAGTGGAACAGTTGCAGATGAGAAATGAAGCACCATCTAAGTCCACAGAAACAGGTGGGAAATAGCGATAGCCAGTAGATTCCTGGAGGCCATCAGTTCTTGCAGTAGGCAGGAAAGAAGCCTCCAGTTCCCACAGCTGCCTCTACCACTCCTCACTCTATCACACTACAGCCAAATGTGGGAATTGTGCTTTCATCACCCCATCTTCTTTAAGGCTACCTGCCCCCCTGCAGCCCCCGGCTTGACTAGCCAGCACTCACCTGGGCATAGCTGGGACAGCCGAGGCTCAAGAGTTGCTGGGTGAGCTGGCAGGAGGAGCTGACTGCCTTCGCATGGTCCTCTAGTGTCTCAGAGACAATCCGCAGGAGTAGGAGGGTCTCCAGAGCCTGCAGGGGCTGGCCATCCAAGAGCAGCTTGTTGAGCCTGCTCCCGTGAGAGCCTCCATTTCCACCCTTCACCCCCAAGTCTTCTGAAACTTTGGACCTCAGGGTTGTTCATGGATGCCCACAGAGAGGGCCATCAACCATCCTCAGAGAACCTGCTTCTTTTGTTTGTATTATCTGCATGCGTGTAAGTGCACTTGTGTCATGCAATGCCGGAAGAGGTAAGAGGGCACTGGATTTTCCAGCGACTGGACTTGGATGGTTAGCAGCCAGGTGGGCGCTGGGAATTGAACCCAGGTCCTCTGCAAAAGCAGCCAGTGCTCTTAGCCTCTGAACCATCTCTCCAGGCCCTGTTTTGTTTTTTAAGAAAGGGTTTCCCTGTAGTCCCAGCTAGCCTGGAACTCATATAGAAAGGCTGGCCTTAATTTCATAAAGATCCACCTGCCTCTGCCTCCCAAGTGCTAGGCCTAAAGTCATGCACCACCATGCCTGGCTCAAGACCTTATTTTTTTTTAATAATATTTTTTTTTTGTCTTTTTTGAAGCAGGGTCTCCCTGTAGCCCCAGCTGTCCTGGAACTCACTATGTAGACCAGGCTGGCCTTGAAATCACAGATATCCACCTGCCTCTGCCTCCCAAGTGCTGGGACTACAGGCATGCACCACC